GCCAAATTGTCACTGCTGTCGAAATAGGCTCTGTCACCTTCTGCCCATCGCAGCCTGGTTTGCAGGAGCTGCTGATTTGCGAGAACTTTTGCCAGACCTGCATGGGCAGCGTGCACACGCGGTGCCTCGATCCGCCTTTGGCGCAGGTGCCCAAAGGCGACTGGTTTTGCTTGGACTGCAACAAGGCGAAGGCCAAGCCCAAGCCCAAGGCCAAGCCCAAGGCCAAGCCCAAGGCCAAGGTTAAGGCGAAGCCGAAGGCCAAAGCAAAGGCCGGCGGGAATGAAGCGGATTTTGCATGGAATGGAATGGGGCCCAGCATCGGGGGGGAGGGATGTCTCGACTACTAGTATCTAGTAGTTCTACATTGCTGATCAGGACGACAATGCGAGCAGGAGCGCCAATCACATAGTCCTAAGCAATGCTTACACAAGACACCTCGAGCATAACATATACATATCGGACTGAGCATCAGCCAATCCCTGAAGGTGAAGGCCACGCTGGCCAAGGGGAAGAAGAAGTGAGCTGAGCCAGGGAAGCTGCGCAAGAAGCAGAAACTGATGTGAAACGTTGACCAATGGATAAGTTGCCCAGAGGTCTTTAGACAAGTTGATGAGAAGGACCATCCGAATTTGCAGTTTCCCCTTTCCGGCCAAATTGCGTGGCTGCCGCCGCTTCCGCGCTTACAATGTGGGATTGCTCAGAGCATTCTCTGGGCTGGGTGGTGCATGGCGGACGGCTTTGCCTCCATGCCAGCGTGCAAAACGCTTGCGTCGGGGAAGAAATGCAAGATGTTTCGGCCAGCCCCGTTGCACATGTGCCGCGCTTGTCATCAACTAGGTCCCCCAGTTGTGCCCTTCTCTCCCCTTTTTGGGGGGAGGGTTCCCCTATTAAAATAGACTACACGAAAAAGGGTACCCTTAAAGCTGTTCTGGTCCAAAACCATTAGGGCTCAGGGATCGGGCTTGCAGGGCCTGGCGACACTCCCCTGTGCGTCAAGCGTCCACCAAGCCACGGTCTCCTCCGCGGCGCCCCGCTCTCTTTTGTGCGCGGCCCCCCTGGTCTGCCCTGTTGTGTGGCGGCGGTCTCTTGCGTGTTGGGGCTCTGTCCATGTTGTCTCGCTTGTCTGCTCTGCCCCCTTCTGTCCGAGGTCGAGGCTGGGGTCTCCCCAACGGAATGGGCGTGCTCTGTCTTCTCTCCTGGTCTTCCACCTGACCTGCGTGCCACCCCTCGGGTGCGCCGGCTCATGTTTGAGATGCTTCTGAGAGCCCCAGTACAGTTCACCACTCTCCTTAACAGGCTTCTGAGGCCATTAGGCAGCTGGCGGGCCGACATCCAGCAGGAGCTCATGGTGAACTTCTCGCCACAGGTTATTGCCTCGCTGTGCGTTGCACTGGATGTTCCTAGCGTGCTCCCCGTCCGTCAACCTGACCAGTTGGGATCCTACGCCTTCCCAGGCTGTGATCCTGTCGGATGTGGCTGACCGTGGGTTGCTGCATGTTGTCCCATGGGTGGGCGCTCAGCTTCGGCGCCTTGTCCTCCGTGGTTCCGGGCTGGTGAGCAGGATGGTCTTGCGGATCCCCCGGGCTGCCGCCCCCTTGGCGCTCCTCATGGAATGTGTCGATGGGTTGCCGGACCATCCTCATTTTCCCGTCATCCTCGCCACTATCCAGTGGGTAGGCTACAGGTACACCATGCTTTGGTGCATGACCAAGCCGCCTTTGGTCCCTGCACCAGACGCTGTTGGCTCGCCACTCTGCTGCGATGTGATGTTGAGGTGTCTGAGCCCACCCCCACTGCCTCCTTTGGTGACCCCGTTCCTGTACGCTCGTTTGCCCTTTCCGCTGCTACTTTGGCTGACAGGGGGCTTTTTGCCCAGCTCACCCTTGTTGATGGTCGCCCGGCCTTCTTCCCCTCCGCCCTCTGGTTTTTCCTCCTACCTTGGAGCAGGCCTTCCACGGCTTGGGCAACTGCATCTCTATCCCGCAGGCTGCCATTTTGTGGACTGTGCTGTTGCGAGCTATTAACCTCATCGCTGAGGTCCCTGAGCACCTTGTCCTGCGTGTTTGGCGTCACCGTCTCCGAGGCTCTGACCTGCGTCCTGCCATAGTGCGAGGTTGGTACTTTGTGGGAGCATTGGATCAGCTCATCGACTTTGCCTTTCATCCCCGGGCTGTTGCTGAGGGACCGCCAGTTGTCGTTGGCGATGAGGGCTTCTTGTGATGGTCTTCCCTTACCGCTTGGGCGCGGCACGCTCGATCCTCTACTCACCTGCTGGCTTGCGTGTTGAGGTCACCTACCCTGTTGGGGCTTCTGTCTCTTTGGTTCTGTTGACAGCCCGCCTTCCTCTAGTCGTTTTGCCCCTACTTGCTGTGCCGACCTTTGCTCGGGTGTGGCTCCCTCGTGATTCGGCAGGGGACTTGACCGGCCACGACTTGGCTGTGGTTCCGGCCCAGGAGGCAGCCCCCTCCCCCGAGGTCAGGGTCCACGTGCATGACCCCAGGGGGAGCATGTCTTTCATGTTCCTCGGGCTGCCACGCTTGGGCAGCTTGTGTGGGCACTGCCCCTTCCTGATCCCTTCTGATGCATGTCCGCCCCTTTGTTCAGGGTCGCCCTGTGAGCGATACCACTACGGCTGAGAACCTGGCTGGGCAGCATGTCTGCGCCTTTTCCCCACCTACCGCCCCTCTGTTGAGGCAGCTACGGTCATTGACACAGTTGGTTTTTGTTGAGCTTGTGGTGGAGAGCTTTGAGGGCCTTGCTGCTGACTTTGCTGGCATCATGGCCAAACCTGCTGTGGACCTCCGGGCCCTCTTTCTTGGAAGCCTCCCATCAGCCGTCAGCTGCGCAATCACTGTATGCCCTCCGAGTCCTCCATGGCACAGTCCACAACCTGGGTCGGGTTGTGCAATTTACGGTCAAGGTTTCTCTGGCTCAATGGTCCTGTGGGAAGATGGGCCTGGCTGACCCACGTCGTCTTGGTACTGGCAACTGCTGCCGTTTCTTCTGCTCCCTTTCTGATGTTGCTTCGGTTGCTGCTTGGTGGCGTGTGCTGTGCCGCGTTTTTGCCACTTGTGGCTTTCCTGGTGAGGGCCCTTTCATTGTCCGGTCGCACAATGTCGGTTCTCTGCCCGTCCTGAGCTGTTCTCGGTTGATGCTCATCTTTTCTTGGCTCGGGAGGCTCGCCTGTCTGCTGACAATGTGCGCTCCGCACCTTGATCCCTGGGCCTCTGCTCTCTGTCACCCCTGACGTGAATGTGTCCGTCGGGTTGAGTGGGGTGGTGTAGCCTCCCTTGCGTGGCGTTGCACTGTCCATCCTGTTGATCCCCAACAGGACGTCTTTGGCTTCCTGCCCTCACTACTTGCTTCGGGTGCGGGTTCCTCTCTTTGTCGGTACTGCAGTCTGGAGCAGGAGACCCTTGGCCACCTTGTTGTGTGTCAGGCCTGGCCCTGCCCCCCCTCTTGTCCCGGATCAGGGGCCTGCCTTTGCTACTCATGGCCTGCGGACCTCCGGTCAGCCTTCTGTGCTGCCCAGCTCTGGCCTGCTACCTCTCCTGTTGGCACAACGTCCACCTTTGGACTGATGGCAGTGTCTACTTGCCCCAGCATCCCTTCCTTGCCGCGGCCGGCTTCGCCGTCGTATCGGGTGCGTGTGCCACGGTTGATTCCGGCCCGGTTCCGGGTGTCTTTGCTGACAACTACCGTGCGGAGGTCTACGCTATCGTGCGTGCTGCAACGCATGCTCGCGGACACCTTGTGGTGCATACTGACTCTCAGGCTGCCGTCCCCATCAGTGGGTCTGGTAGGGTTGTGCCACACCTTGCTGCTGCCGACCTTTGGCAGGGCTTGTGGGCGGTTGTGCAGTCCCGGTGGCTTCTCCCTTGAATTCGTGGCCACGTTGCGGCCTCAGCCGTCACTCGGCTGACCTTGCTGCCAAGGCTGCGGCTCGCGCCTCCTTGGCCGCCCCTGTTAGGCGGCTTGATGCCCTGTTCTTTGCTACCTACCGTCGCTCTGGTAGCAGCGCCTTTTCCTTGCCCTGCCGCGCACACCCCCTTGCCCCTGTGCCTGCCCCCGACTCTGGTGGAGCCCTGTGCCCTGTAGCTGAAGCCCCCCCTGAGCCTCTTCCGGCCCCATACCATGGCTCTCTGCGTTTCTGTGTGGCGGTGCCTCCGCCAGAGCAACCTGGCGACTGGACGCTCGCTACTCCTTAGCCGGGCCTTGCAGTTGCACTTGTGGTTTGGAGGCGCTGCCCTTTGGTCCTGCCGTGCCCGGATGGCCGTGCTGCTACGGTTCAGGACCTCTTGGTGCACTTCAAAGCAGCTCGGCGCTGTGTCACCCGTAGGGCGCCACTTGCTTTTCCAGGTAAGTGGGAGCCCCGCTTGGGTGCGTATGCGGGGCTGGCCTGGCAGCGGGGGTCTGGAGTGCGCTTGCAGTGTACTCCAGAGGAGGATGCCTTCCTTGAGCGTACAAGGCTGCGGGCAGCCAGGCTTGACCGCGTCCCTCGGGATTGGGCCTTTTCTCTTGCGTCCATCGCCTGACCATGCGGTGGCTGCAGTGGTGGTGGTGCTGATGCCCGTGGCTCCCTCGCCCTGGGCTTCTTGCTGGCTGTGGTACAGCCCCTTTTGGGCCTTGAGCAGGGGAACATGGACGTCATGGTGGGTCGCTGGAAATGTGCGAGTCCGGCTCACTCGAAGGTTGCTCGGTTTCACCCTTGCCGTGTGGAGTGCCAGATCTTTTCGCCACAGTGATGGCTGTGGTACGTGTCACTGGTGGGCACCTGTCCCACCAGGCCTGTTCAGATGGTTGGGCGGCATGCCCCTCCGTCAGCCGGCGAACTCGTCGCCCGCCGTGTGCCAAAAGCGAACCCTTATTCTAACCTCTCTAGTCAAGCCCCCCCCCCCCACCAAAAAAACACAAAAACAAAAAACAACACCTCCAAGCACGGCCCAAGGCTGCTCTTTTACGATGTTAGAGCAGCAGACTGCTTCGATCCCCCATGCCAGGGCTCCGAGGCCTGACACGGCTGAAGCCATTGGCAGGGAGTTGCAGGGCCGCTGGGCTGAATGTGGATCCGGGGTACATCTCATCCATGGTGCCAGTGTAGATCTTTCTGCTTTGATCCAATGAAATTTGGGGACCCTGATGAGGGCGGATTTTTGGTACCCAACGATGCAAGGAGTGTCTCGTGCAGGGTAGAAGGGGTCGTCTTTTTGAATCCTTGTGTAGAAGATATGGAAAGGTAAGTACCGTGCAACAGAAGGGCAACAGAAAGTATACAACATGTCTTGCTGCTGCGTCCTTCCTGGCTTGGCTTGGTGGATGGTTGCCTCCTGGCTGAGGGGCCGCAGCAACACCTCCCAGGACGCTCCTGATCGCAGATGGACAGCTTGTCCATGTCATTCATTCAGTTGAAGCAGGATTGCATCAGGAGAAGCAATGTAGGCATCAATCAATGTCCTTTGTTGTTGGTCTAGTTGCTCAAGTTCAGCCAGCTGGATGCAATGAGAGATGCTTGCTTTCTGCAGCATTTTTCTCGCTTTCAAAGTCCACTCCATGTGTTACCTTCGGAAACATGGGCGTGACCCTGCTGGATCTAAGCAGGGAAATGAGTGTGACCCTGCACAGCTAGATCCTTATTAGATCCTTGGGGATGGCTTCTGCGCACTTCGCAGGACGCAGAGCTCCGGCACGAGGAGGTCCGTCCAATCGGTTTCACCCTGCCAAAGGCAGAGCACCCCGCGTGCCTCGAGCCAATCCAGCGCCAGCCGAGCTGCGGCAAAAGGCGCGCCTGGGCCAAAGGAACGGAGGCACCGTCCGTTTCGGGATCGATCGGCGTCCTATTGCCCTGAAATAGCTTCAACACACATAGATGATCATACATTCTAAACACAACCATCTCACACATTATGGATTCTATTGCATGTGCGGCTATACACATGCATGCCCATGCAAGTATATGCATGCATGTATGTACACACCTATATGCGCATTCGTTGCGGGCTAGAGTTGAAAGTCCAGAGCTTTGTTTGTTGGCATTCTGGCGAATGCTCGAATGCTTGCGAGTCAATGGGCCACCAGGTCACCCAGAATTGGGAACGCTAGGGACGGTTGGGCAAGCTCAGGCTCCTATTGAAATCAAAACCGTCCAAGAGCCCAGAACCTTTTGCCCCCCACTCCCTTCAAGGAAGGAAGAAAGGAAGGAAGGAAGGAAGGAAGCAAGCGATGTGGCCAAGGCGGTATGTGCATGGGCGATCTGCTGGCAGCTCGACCACCACAGGTGCCATCGCGTTGTTGTTCAGCCGTTGCCAGCACAGGATCGGAAACATCGAGAAATAGGCCGCTTGCTTCCTGGGGAGAGGGAGGCGCTCGGTCTTTTGGAGTGTCGCACCAAGCTCACCAAGCAACAGGGCAACCTTGGCTGCCATAGCAGCTGCGCAACTAAGATGTTGAGCCGCCACATTGCAAGCATGGCATTGCAATTCAAAAGTTTGTGGCACGAGCACTCCGCCTGGGACGGGTAGTCCATGAAAGAGGCCATTCGCAAGTGGCCCCTTAAGCAGCCACCCGCCCGGCCAACTTCCTTTAAGGGAAGTCAGCAGCCCCTGTGCGATAAGCACTGGGCAGGCTTCGTGGCTTGACTTGGAGTGGGCACCTCAGACGGGGCTGGAAGGCGTAAGGAGCCGGTACACAAAGATCAGGGTGGCTGGTGAAGATGTGCATCCTGGAAACACCAGCGGGGGTGGGCCTACGGATGTACTGGCTATCGAGGTAGACTCGCGTGCTTCAGCATTTGGCTCAAGCTTTGACTCGAGAATGTCTCGTAGGTCGCCCTTGTGAGACGCGGCCCTACGTGCGCTTCAACGTCATGGGCAGCGTTGGCGATGTTGCTTCAAGGCGGAAGTACAGCCACGTCAACGTTTGGAGGGAGTTCGAGCACTTCAAGGGCTTGAAGTCCTTGCAGAACTTGCAGGGGGATGTCGAGGAGGAGCAGGTGAACGTGAAAGGCCGACCTGGCAGCCTTCATGGGCTACCTCTATGAGGGCCACTTGCCTCTCGATTGGTGTTAGATCTATGCCGTGTGGCGCCTTTGCGTCTTCTTGCTGGCTCTGGAGGAGTGGCGCAAAGACTTGTTGGAACGCCTGTGGCACGCTGTCGAGGGATGTCGAGGGCAAGGACATTCCAGATCTGCGAAAGCTCGCAGAGGGGTCGCACTAGACGCAGGAGTTTTGCGACAGGGTCCCCAAGTTGACAGTGACAAGACTTCAAGAGGCAAGGGGTCTTGATCTATGTGCCAGTGACTGAAGCATCTCCGAGAAGAGGAAGAGCGTTGTGGAGCGTTCTGAGCAGCTTCTGGCTGAGTGTGATGGCTCTGATGCAGTCTTTGCCTGGGTGGGGCTGCTGAAAAACTCAACTACACGGAGGAGACGGGGCGACAAGCCCGTCTCGGCAGATGGCGAGTCTGCACTTCGAGGCCATTGCCAGAGCACGGACTGGAGCTTTCCGTCTACGACGTTGGCTGATGATGTTCGGATGGCTCTAGCGACATAAGTCTTGCCGCTGCTAAAGTCAGATGTGGAGCACTTCCGCGCAGTGAGCCACTTCTCCACTGAGTTCGGGAGTCTGAAAAGTTTCATGCCTGTCGGTTCTGGGGGATTGGAGCTGGGGCGGCCTCATCCCAAGCTTCTCGGAGGTGCCATCTGTGCAGGTCCTCCTGCAGGCATGTACTTAGAGTTAGCTCTACGAGACACGCGCATCTGCTGCACGTTGGGCTCTGAGCCCATCACTTTGGACAGCCTGGGAAGAGAACGTCGGCCTGCGCCTGGAGCACCGTAGCACCGTCAGGCTCTCAGAGATAACGCTGAAACACCTCAACTTCCTGGCCACCATGTTGGACATGTTCATACGTGGTTGTGGTTGTCAAAACCTAAGGTGCCTTCTTGGGGATAGTTACCGCTCCACAGTTGTCTTTTTGGAATCGGAGCCTAGGCGAAGAAATGCAACACCCGTGAGATTGCCGTGGGTTGCGGCCAGACGGCTGCAATTGGACGGTGTGGAGTGGATAAGCAATGAGAGGGAGGCTTCAAGTTGCCCGCCATTGCAGCTTGGTGGTTTTGTGATGCGTTGCTTCCGCTGGATTGGTGAGAGCGTTTTGCGTTCTGGGCAGTTCTATCTCTGAATGCCCGGCACGCAAACACATCCATGCGGGTGAACAAGCGCGTTGCGTTTCTTGAGATCTAGGTGGACGGGGTCACAGTTCTTGACAATGGCAAAGAGTTTTTCGCCAATAGGGACCCCGTCAGGGTGGCTGGTGTCCTTCGGTTTCCCAAAAGCGGTTCCCCATGTTTAGACCGAATGTTGAGACTCAATGGGCGAACTTGCTGAAGGCTTCAACGGTGCAGCCTGGGTGAGGGAGTGGTGCATCTTTGGCAGCAGGTGCGCCCTGTGCTTGGCGTGGTTCCCTATGGGGACGCCACAGTCCATGCAATTGGTTGGAAAGACATCGGTCCAATGCAGCGCAGGTACTTTCTGGGAATGCCCGCATCAGAAGGCCGGGGCAACCCAAATCACGAAAGCTGGCAAGGCAAGGTGTGACATAGAGCTACGATCAGCTCAAAATGCAGCTTGTGATGGGCACACTCGTCCACGCCAGCATGAGGCTGAATCTTGCGGACAATGCCGTGGATGCAGCGACTGTGGAGGCGCGCAGGGCATGTTTGCAGCCAAGTGGCCAAAGCGAAGTCTTTTGCATTTTGCCTAGACAGAGAGAGAGTGGCTCCCCTCTTCAAGATGGGCATCGCATACGGAGCCACCAAAACCATCCTAACCGGATCCCAGTGCTGTGCCCCGCGCCTCCCGCCCCGGTTTGCAATTTCTCACTCCCATTTAGCTTCCCCAGAATTAGCTCCCCTTTTCGTGTTTTTGTTTTGGCTTTTTTGGGGCTCCTTTCTTTTTCCCCTAACCAGGCAAAAAAGATCTTTTTTGCTGGGGGTCCTAATCCCAGCCCAGTTAAATATCCAAGGTCCCGCCCGCCGAGAGCTGCAAATTCGTGTGCAGGTGCTGCTGGACGCAGCAGCCTTGAGCCCCGCGTGCCCAGAGGAGCCACTCAGCAGCATTTCTCGGAGAGGCGAAATGCTTGAGGCCAGAAAACTGGCTTGTTTCCCATTGGGTGTGGCTCAAAATTAGACAGGAGGGGCTACGCAGGTGTTGGTCCATGTTTCCACTTAGCAGGGTTCCATTCTGGGTAGCGGTTTTTTGAGCCACAGCCATTGGTTCTCCCTGGCCATCCGCAAAACCTTTTTCAAGACACCACTTGGTGAAAGGGCTCCATGGCTGACTTCCTTTCGGCTTTCGGAGTCCGGAGTGGAATGGGGATCGCGGCGGCCTATGGACCATTTGAGCTGCACAAGCGTTGGCAGCTGAAAAGTGCAGCTTCCATGCACCAATGGTGTCGGTGAAGGGGGGGCATGAGGCCCGCCCCATTTGGTAAAGCTGACTTCCCTACCTTTTGCGCGCTTCCCACAAACTCCACTAATAATTACTGCCCAAAAATGCGGTGGGTTGACAAACGCAGGTCATACCATGTCAAAACCTTCTCCAACCATGGCAAGAAGTGTCTAACTTGGGTTTGCTGTTGCCACAATCTGGGCTGTTCAATTCCTTAATCCTCACCTCGGGCCTTAGTGGCTTGCAAATCGGATCGGGATTCTGATGGTTATATGTGTCGCTTGCGTGGGCTTGCCTACGGGCCTTAGTGGCTTGCAACTCGGGATTTAGGAAGATCGAAGGGTCCGCTCCATTTCGATCCCAGGCTGGAGCTGCTGCCCAACCCCTGCGGAAGCCGTGGGGCAGCACAGAGAAGAATGTCGTTAGATTTCCCCTTGCCGGGAAGGTCGAGGTTCGTGAGGATCGTTTGCTGGAGGGTGCCGGTTTTTTTTTTTGGGGGGGGGGCTTGTTTCTTTTTTTTTGTGGGGGGGGGGCTCAAAGGGAAGCCAGGAGGGAGCAATTTTGGGATGATTCTCTAAGGTTCCCTTTTTGGGAATGGCAATGGTGGCTTAAAAAGAATCAAAAGAAAGCCGTTTTTTGGGGGTACCCCGACTTCGACACAGGCCCCTCGTCATGTTTTGCTTACAGAGTTTGAAGCGAGTGATTGTACAGTTATTTGCCCTGGTTGCCGGATCATGTATTGTCTTGTGGTTGGATCACCTGACATATTCAGGAAACCCAGCCCTACCATCTCCGTCCCACCCTGGTCAGTTCCCCGCAACGAAAGGAGCCCTTTCCTCATGATGCTGGAAACATCCGTTTCTATGTCCTGAGGTATGATGCGAAGTTGAACATCATCCCTAGTACTCAGTTTGAAGCATCTTGTTGGCTGCCTCAGGAGGAATTGCAGGGAGAAGGGTCCCTTTTTTGTTTGCCATTTAAGGCCGTCAAGAAATCACCCCTTGAACATGTTGGCTGCCAACATTATTCTTCTGTTGATGGATGATTTCAAGCCTTTGAGGGCAATTTCTTGCAGGAAGCCAGCCATGAACCCAGCCATGTAAGGTGAAAGAACTGGAACAAGGTCGCCAGACAAGGTTTCAGCACGTTGTCGGGAATACAAATTCAGTAGATGGACGGAGCCTGTATTTTAAGGACTTCCAGGGCTGAAGCGGTGGTTTGGTTGCTTCGCAACTGGAAGGGCGAATCCTGTTGCACAACCCACCCGCACCTCCCCGAAAGGTTTTTCAAGGCCGGACCAGGTTTACACACGTCATATGATACCCCTGCCGCAGATTTGGCGGCTGAGCCTTGCGGCTCTCTGAGGTGTTGTCGCCAAGCTTTTGCACCATTTGGCGCCTTGGCTGGTGCCTGAGAGTGAGGCGCAGGAAATCTCTTGAGGCCATGCACCGAATTCTGAGCCGGTGTGCGTTTTGAGATGGTTTTACACATCTTTTCGTGGTTGGGGTGACCTGAGAGCGGCAGCATATAGGGAGGTGGTGCAGTGATGGCTGGTGCTCAGGCGGACCATTTCCTTGAAGGGCACATCACCAGAGGCATGCGGTCTGTGATTGGACTTTTTGGCGGAAGCAAGGCAAAAGCAAATTGGAAGTTGCAGTCGCTGTGGCGAGGAATGCGCAAGAAGGCAGCAAGCAATTGGCCACATGTAGTGACAATGTAGTGCATGCTGGGTACGTTTTGGCCATGGAGCTCTATTCGGCACCAGTGGTGCCACAGATGTTTCACAGCAGTTGTTTCTGGCTTTGGCATATGACGTCGGCATGGGCTGACTGCTGCCTGCCGTGTGCCAGGTGGCGGAAGTGGCGCAGCTGCTGAGCAGTTTCGGGGAGCCTTGGACGAATTGGTAGATGGATTGCCAGCCTTTCGGTTGCCAACGTATGGTTTTGCTTAGGTATCATTGTCCATTCAGTTGACAGGCTTGTTTGGTTTAGGCCGGAGTATCAAAGGTCCAGGGGCGAAGTTTATTCGCCCAAACTTCGCCCATTCTTTGAAGACAGGATGACCCTGACACTGCCCTCTCCAACCACAATGAATTCACTCGTGTCCGGCCGCCCACCTGGTGAAAGCATGGATTTATGACTGTTGTTCCACAAGCCTCATTCCCTTTTTCCTTGAATGCCGAGCGTGTGTTTCATGTTCGGCCAATCCTGCGGGAGGCACACGGCCCCCACAAACCCGCATTTGAGGATCAGAAGGATGCCACCTGCAGCCCCAGCCTTGGTCATCATTTCAGTTGCTCCTGTTTTTTTCTTTTTGCCCTGTTGACTCCCCACTAGCAACGGTCAACCAGACAAAGGCCGCTGGCTTACGTTGCTCACCTCGTGCAATGATTCGAAATGACATATATAGGTGGATGACATGTTTCAGTGTGAGCCCCTTGCATTGATCTGGAAATTTGCATGCTAGCCCTGAGGCAAATGGTTGGATGCTGATTTTCTGAATGTTTTGTTTCGTGTTTGCCGGCATAGGGCCATTTGAATGTTTGGTGAGACCATGTCAGTGCCTCCAACATCTTCCAACCCTTTCCAGCGTGGCAGTCTCAGACACCCTTCTCGCAAGGTCGCGACAAGCCTTCAGAGCCCGGCGCTTGTAATGCTGGATTTGCTGACGGCTTACTGTGTCATCTTGGCCTTCGGATAGAAGTTGCAGTTCTTCTCAAGTCTGCCCTTGTGGCCCATTTCACTAAAGGCCTGGATATTGATTGGGCTTGCCCTTTGGGCTCAGTCCAACACGGGATATCAAGCCAGAGCAAAAGAACACATGCCTATCCAAAGTCCTCAGAGCACAGAGCGCTGCAGCCAGCACGAGGTTCGTCCTCTCCCTCGGCAACACACTCAAAGTGCCGCCAGGCACATGCGGGCCCACGATATGAAGCACACCATTGGGGTGGCACCCGTGGCGTGTCATGGGGCCATGACCACCCACACAAGGAGCCTTCAGCGCATAGTGGACGTGTGTCAAGCCTACTACTAGGTACTTGTACTTTGTATCTTTTCGTTTGTTTTGGGGACAGGTTGTTTAACAGGAAGCACCACACCATGGAGTCCCCCAATGGAGTCCCCAGCGACATCGCATCCGTGCAGGGCATTGGGAACTTCTGGGCGATGCCCTGAAGGTGGCAACGTGCCCCGTCACGCCTGGGCCTGAGAGAGCTGAGAGCTGAGAGCCCTGGATCAAAGCCACTTGTTGACTCGGGCGGGGTTCCCATTCCTTGTGTGGGGGCTTCAGACCACTTTTGAAGGGGACCCCCTACGAGGACGGGGTCAAATGAGGAATCAGCATGAATCAGCGTTAGACACATCAGCCGGACTACTGGCGCCGTTTCATGTTTATATCCCACAACACATTCATGGCTCACAAGTGATCTGGCGTTGCTCATATACTGCTGGAGCTTCTTTCGGAATTCATGGTTGAGATGTTGTGCGATGGTAAGCCCTTCGGTACTAGCTCCTGAATCAGTTGCATGACTTCTCACCATTGTTGTGATTGCATTGAAGTATGCAATCAGAGTGGTCGTTTTCCGTTGGGCTGCGGTCACGCCACGCTTACACATTCAAACGCCAACAATGGCCCTTGATGGCTTTGCTGGACTTCCCGCCTGCTCGAAACAACTCTCGTTGGCTAAGGGAGCGACACTGCCCCCTCGAATCACAGTCTCACAGGTCTTTCAGAAAGCCTGCTTCAAACAAACATGCTTGCCAGCCCTTGGTGGGCTGGCAGAGCCCACTTTGATCCAGAAGACATCAAGTTTCAGCCCCTGCCTCAGCGCCCAATTGCCTCAAAGCAACGTGCGTCACAACACACACGACAGAGTACTCACTTGTGTTGACTGGATCCTCATATAGAGCCAACACAGCAAGTTGTCGGCCAAGGCAACTGCCGGGAGCCGCGAGGCCGGGAGCCCATCTTGGAGCGCTGCTCAAAAAAATTGAATGGGCGTGAAGGGGGCAGCATTTGGACCTTGAAGACATACAAAGCTTGCCATGCTACATTGATCTCTCGAATGTTTGTCTCCCACGTTGCCAGAATCCCACATATACGCTCGTCGGGCTGCCACGTCACATTGCAAGGGTAAGGGGCTGGCTTGAGCAACCTCATGGAGAAGTGCCCCCGTTCACCGGTCCAGGCACACGCCCCATCAACACAGGTCAGCTGGCTTTGGGCTGCGAAAGGTAGAGCTTAAAAAAGAGCTTGCCACACGAATATGTAGGAGTCAGCGTGTTTGCGTGGGTCGCTGCTCTCAAATCCCAGATGGCGAGTAAGCCCAGGTTATGTCTCCAAACCCCCACACAGCACGGCAAGAAGTGCGCGCAGGAAGTGCAGACGGGGTCAGCCAGAGACTAGTGATAGCGCCAGGCCCGGCACTGCGCCTTTCCGGCGCTTGGGGGGATGTCCGAAGCTCAGGAGCGCATGCAAAAGTAATGCGCCTGTTTGCGCGCGTCCTAGATGAAAGGGTTGCCCACTTGGTGAGCGCATGGCCCTTTGGTTGAGTCGCTCTGTCAACGAGGCGGCGGGATTCTGTACTTGGAGCGCCGTCCTCAGAAACATCTCCGGCAGATGTTGAGGAGTTGACCCATCCGAACTCCAGACCTTTCATGTGCTCCCCATTGGGACACCCAAAATAGCACCATGATGTACCCCACTTACCCAAACTAGCCCATGGAAAAGCACCATCGCGACACCCAAAATAGCCCATGGTGCCCAAAATCGCACCATGTTTTACCCACTTGCCATACTTACCACTGGCTCCGGCCATTTCTCCTGGGGCTCGATTTCCAGATCGCCGGACTGAGCCGAGAGCTGCAGGTTCAGAGACTGCGACCTCAGCCGGGCCCTCGGCTTCCGGCTTCCGGCGTCGCAGGAGTTTGAGGCTCGGCGGGGGGGAGAATGGCGCAGAACGGCCGAGGTCAAGCCTTCTTCCGGGTCCGTGCCTCGGAATCCGTCCCATCCAGTCAAAACCGCGGCATATTCAAATCTGCAGGCTGGGGGTGGTCATCAACCCTTGATAGTGGTGGTAGACCAGTTCCATGGCTCCCATTTGGGAATTTGATGTCCCACCTCGCATACCGCAAGTGGGCAGAGAGCTGCGAGCCACTCAGGTGCCACGCGCCATCACGCCCGAGAACGTCGAGCCTTGACAAATCATTGGGACTGTCGCCAGGGCGTACCTCTCCCTGCAACAGCCTGGATTGCTTGAACATGTATAGACACATCAGACTGTCGCGCTTGGAAGGGAGAGGAATGCAGGGGTAACCAAGGCATCGACCCGAGAGCACGTTCCACTTTGGGCCACCACACCAAGCCTCCCCTATGAGAGAAGTTCATGTAGGGGATCCCCGTGATTGTTCTTTCCATCTTACAGCTTGGATGGTTTGGATGGGTGGCTTTGAGTTGGGCCGTGGTTGCTTCACCTCTCCCCATGGGATTCTAGTGGTTCAGGTCTCCAACATTGAACGGATCGCCAGCTCAGGAGCTGAGCTCCATCGCAGCTTGGCAAAGTTCAATGCCGCGGCTGTCCACTGTGGCCAGTGCTATGTGGTGCTTAGCAGCGATGGTCGGGACCGTTCAGCACGGCAACATGGTTGTTTTTGGTTCCCTTTTTTTCTGGCCTTCCCAAAGCAAGATCACCTTTTACAAGGCCCTTGATTCATGTGGTTGCTGGGGAGGGTTGAGCACGTGCGAGTTGCGCCTGCGCTCAGCAGCGAAATGGTCCGAGCTTCGCTTCCACCTGCCTAGGCAAAGTCGGCCAGACGCGAATGGAGCGTCAAGGCAGGCTTGCTGTCACCCTTACAGAAATAATTTCCCAGGAGCTATGTCAGGCGCTAGGTCACTTGAGCCAGGGCAGCGCAAAGAAGGTTGCGCCCTAATGAGCCTGCACAGGCTAAGCCCCCATCATGTCTTGAGGGGCGTGAAAGCATTATGCTCGAAGAATGTCTTGCTTCTTTGTATACAGTGGATGCCCACTCATAGGAGGTGGCTCAAGGTGACAATTGGTTTGCAAAAGGCGCGCAAAGGCAGAGCGAAGATTGCACAAGATGTTCCAAGCCAACTTTAGCACTGCCACTCAGATAGATCTTCAATGTTGAAGCGTTGAGGGCAAGCCTCCGGTCACAGCACGGAAGCGTCGAAGCATGGAAACCTCAGAATCATTTTGGTCTGACGCCGAAGCTTGGGTTGCAAGAGGCCGAACGAGTGCTGGAGGAAAGACGGGTGAAAGAGCGACAGAGACCGCGCAAACTGCAAGTCTTGGCTGCGCCCTCCACATCCAGCGTGCCTCAGGACGAATATATTCGCGCAACCGTGGTCAAGAAGCATGATGCCACAGACGATTCCCAGCTCAATCTCCGAATGAATGAGATCGTCATCATTTTGGAGAAGGATGCGTTCGCTTGCATGCATGCTTGCCTGGAGAAATGACACGGGGTTTGTCATACTTGGAAAAATGCACATACCCTGCACTTTGATCCGGCAGGATGAGACCGGCTGGTGGGGCGGTCACAAGGAGGGCGAAGAAAGAACTGGCTGGTTCCCTGGCAGCTGCGTTCGCGCGATTGAGGTGCCGGAACCTTGGCGAGCATCGGCCCGGGCAGGCCGAAGAAGGGCAACAACTGCTCAGGGAACGCACGGGAACCCCTGATGGTGCTCCACAAAACGAAGAAAGAAGCTGGAGCCGAGGGTCCTGCCAAAAGGAACATGGTTTTTTGAGAGGGCATTTCGGGTTCCAGGTGTGCCTTGGGGAGAAACACTGAAAAACACATCAACTCCCGCAGGGCCATCCCATTCGTGGCATACTTCGGGCAATGGCCAAAGCACTGGGCTGTTTGGGTTGGATGGGAGGTTTGCTTTTTAACACGTAACGTTCACCTAGATGAGTAAAGCAACCCACTGTGAGTCTGCAACACTGTTGGGTGGCTGGCCAACTCCATTCAACAAGGTGCCCTTTTTGTCGGCTGGCAGCTAATGATCGCATGTGATTCCCTAAATTCACATTGACCAACGTGTTGGCTGCAGGCTGACATGCTGTGCTGTGAAGGAGCATACTTTCAGAAGAGGTCTTGGTTGAACTGCGCTTTTGTTTGCAGGGATTTGAAGGGACCCCGTTTGGAGCCCCCTTTGGTTATGATTGGAGTTGGCCGGAGCCCCAAAGAAGCAAACCAAACAGGAAGTAGCAAGTCAAAAGCAAGTTTAAATTGGACTCAAGCCAGAACAGAAAGAACTCAACGGAGGGCCATTTTTTTGGTTTTTTGTCTTCTCGTTTTTTTTCAATGATTGTTTTTGTTGTTCAGGGTGGGTGGCTTTTCGGCTTTTTGGCTTCTGTGACTTTTTATGTGGGTTTATGTGGCTTTTGTGGCTTTTCATTTCGCATCTGCATTTACAGTTTCTCTCTGTTTAGGCTTTTAGGTTTTTATTGGGTTTATGCGGTCGCATCCTCTGCATTACCAGTTTATCTCTGCAGGTGGCTGTGGCTTTTTGGCTTTGTGGCTTTTGGCGGCTTTCTGGCTTTATTCTCTGCTTTCCCAGTTGGTTTTTGGCCTTGGCTTCCTGCATCCTCAGCATCGCCAGTTCCTCTTGCCCCCCGCCACCCCCTTGCGATTAAAATCTGGGGGTTGGGAGTTGGGGCTTGGGGGCTAGGGCTAGAAAGTCTTAGGGCGGAGGGCGGAGCAGGCGTTGCTCACAAAGTCCCTCGAACATTGCTTTTTCTCCAAAACTATGGGGCAAGTTCGATTTTTTACGGCACCTGGACCCTCAAACTACCCATTAAAAATAGGTGTAAAACCCAAAACTATGGTGAGTTCTTTTTTTCCCGGGTAGTTTGGGGGTTCTGGGGTCCGATCGGTTGAACCTTACTTGCGCCAGACCGTTTTGGAACCTGGAACCTCCGGAACTCCTTGAACAGTGCACCTGGCCTGCACCGGAACCTCCGGAACTCCTTGAACAGTGCACCTGGTCTGCGCCAGCGGAACCTCCAGAGCTTTCCTTGAACCTTTCACCTTGCGCTTGGCCTGCACCAGACGGACCACCCGGAACCTCCGGAACTTTGCCCAAATTTCCCCGAGCCACCCCCAAACCCTTATTTGGGCTGAGGCCCCTTAACTTTCAGCTGTTGGGGAAAAATCGGAACAAACATGATCAAAAAAGAAGGAGAAAAAAGAGAAACAATCGTTTGAGCAAGGAGGGGCAAGGGTGAGGGGCGGACAGGGCAGCGCGAACTGTGACATACTTAGGACCCCAAGAGAGCGTTGGAGACTGGCGCCTCCAGCCCCGTGCGCCGCAGCTTTGTGGTGGCCTCTCCTCAGCGCAGGCTCGGTGTAAGGGTTGGCTTTGGCTGGCTGGCTGGTTGGCTGGTGGGTTGGTTGGGCGCTCGGTGAGCCAACTGGGGCTGAGGGTCAGCGAAAGGATAGGCTGAGGGAGCGAGTGCGTGAGTTATCAAAGCAAGACAGTTCACTTCAAAACTTTAGGGCCATGACTTGGAGTCAATCAGCACGACTGGAAACAGGCCCTTTGTATCAGCCCATGGCTCCAGAAGTTCCAGAAAAGGACCTCCTCCTCCATGGGCTAGGCATTGTTTTCTTCAAATTGACTGAGGAGCGACGGGCCCGAGCGCATGGAGCGCGAGGCGGACTCGCGGCTTCTGGCCGAGAACGAGCAGCTGAAGCGGGACAAGTCCGGCCTGGAATCTTGGCAAAGGGCAGAAGGCGGAAGCGAACACATGGCACCCTCTTGCGTTCGTGTGTGAAATCTGCGGTGGCCTTTGGTTTTGGATGGCTTGAAGAAAAACATGCTGAAGCCAACCATTTTGGAGCGGTCTCTAGCTGTCACGCCTACCCTTTTTGCGGCAATGGGCATCAAGAGCGGGAAGTCTGAAAATGGAGGGTTGCTGGGTTTGAACACGGCATATATGCGGAGAAACATGACTTGCCAAAATATGTCGAGCCTTTTGGCGCAGCAAGAATCACCGGCCACGGGTCGCAGAACCTTTGACGTTTCACAAGGACTTGAAGCCAATGCAGATGTAGAAAACCCTTCCAGCCTTGCAAGCTCAGGAGGCCAAGCTGGTGAGCATGCGCAGGCTTGTTGGGCTAGCCCAATGAACTGATCTCATTAAGAACCGGGTTCTCAGGTTCTTAATATCAATATAAGTGACTAGGCGCCTGGGATTGGGGGAGAGGTGTCGGGGCCCCTATTCCAAACCAGGTTCCGTTTGTGCATGATTCAGGATGCTTGACCGTGGCTGGGTTAGAACTTGAGTGTCAAAGCGCTCCAAATGATGAGTTTCATGATTCCTGGGAGGCCGTTTTGACACGTATAAGGCAAAAACACGAAGGCTAGCCTAAAAGGCCCAGGCTCGGCCAAGGTCGTTGAAGATACGTCAAAGTACTGCCAGTATCAAGCAAGGACTCCCCAAGATTTGCCACAGCTTGTTTTTTGTTTCTTAGGCTTGTTTGGGGATTGCCCTTGTTGCACAGATGATAAGGTTCCTCGCTGTCAGATGTAGTCAGATGTAGTCAGTGCCCTGTTGCAAGCCTTGAAGAACGCATCGGCTTCTGCGACATGACATGGGAAGTTTGGTTGCAATTTCCGCGGCAGGCTTCGATCTCAGTGTTGTTCAGTGTTTTTGGCCCTAGTTTTAACCCTGCAGTTCTGTCGCCTAGTGCCGCGTGATGCCCAGTGTCAGGCAGAGCGACGTGGAGCAACAGAGTTCTTACCAACTGCGGGAGTCGCTGAGGCAGCTGGAGGCAAGGGCAGAGTGGCCGGAGGCAAAGTTTGGGTGCAGCAGGCCAAGCCCAAAGAGCAAAGCAAGTTTCCCAAAGGAGCAACACCTCAAAGGGAAAACTTATCGATTTGGACAAAGAGGGCCTCGCACAGGCCACGTCGTAATGTTAACCTCTCCCGGCTGCCAGAGTGCTAGAGGCCCCCCTGCAATAGATCAGTTTAGTACTCCAAGCGGCTTGCCACCCAGTCCCATCCCAAGCTTTTGCCAGGTGCATGTGGGGGAGCAGGACGCAGAGCTGCGAGTGGAGCGGGCACAGCGGATCCAGCTCTGCGAGGAGGGAGTGTGGAACCACCTAGTTTCCAAAGTTAAAGGTCCCAGGCAAGAAAGGAGGCATCTCACTTTGTGTGAAAGGTGTTGCATGCTGCCTTTCGGCACCATGGCTTGGCAAGTGGGACAGCTTCACGTAAGAAGGAAACCACGCCAAGGGACTGGAGGGAATGTGCACAGATCAAACCTTCATGTCAAGATGGCGTGGCTTCAACTGGTCCATGTTTTGTCGGAACAGGGCACGTTTAATGTTTGCTCAACGGGGATTGAACGCTGCAGCCCCCCTTCTTTGTGAAAGGAACATTTACATGCGCTTGGCGTGTTTCGCGCATTTGTGTCGTCCGCGCTGTTGGAAAGAATCAAAGCACACACCGACATATACACAATCAAAGACAAAGATACCCGCGCACACACACACACACACTTGCTTACTTGCTTGCTTGCTTGCTTGCTTGCTTGCTTGCGTGCGTGCTTGCTTGCTTGCTTGCTTGCTTGCTTGCTTGCTTGCTTGCTTGCTTGCTTGCTTGCTTGCTTGCTTGCTTGCTTGCTTGCTTGTTGACTCCCACTTGCGGTTGGGCTTTTGGTATTCGGTGTCTTCGATTTCCGCGAGTGGGAGGCTTGGCCCCGCAAGGAGCAGCAGAAGTTGCAGCGGAAGCTCCAGGAATCGGTGGAGCAGCTGGAGGCGGAGGCGTTCCAGTCACAGGGAAGTGGATGGCACAATTCTTTTGGCTTCATTTTGACCCATACCCATTTGATGCTAGAGGGTAAAATGGGGGTTCCCACCTTGTTTCCCCGGCACCAAACCACCGATTCGGCTCACCACCAAACAAGGGAAGCTCAACTTTGGTGCATTTTGCTTGGATGTTAGGACTTTAACTTTTTGCCATCTTTAATGGGTTTTCAGTTAAACTTTTAGCAGGGGAGCAGATTTCGCAACCGAGTTTTCCTGAGTTGGACTTGAAACTTTGGGAAGACCGTTCTAGATCAATGTTCGAGGGTTCCTGACCGAGCATCCTTCTGAGATTTTTCGGGAATCGAAACCCTGAACGTGATTTCACACTGACTGACTGAACGTTTTTTTCTTCGCGAAGTCGCTGCACTGCAAAAGAAAAACCGTGCTCCAAGAAGCGGCAGCTTGAAACAGCCCGGTTCCCTGTCAGCCCGGCCAAAAAGCACACACTCCCAGAACTTGAGGGAATGACCCCTAACCATCCAGCTGGTGGTTTCCTTTAAGGGAATCCCCGGGTTCATTCCAACTCCTCCCCTACCTTTCGCACCGATCGCAAGAGAGAGACCCCGAGAGACTCCCACAGCTTCCGCCAGGTGAAGGAGCAAGACCAGCGCCTGCGCTCGGAGCGGGACAGCAAGAGCGAGCTGAGCGAGCAGAACCGTCAGCTGAGACAACGCTTGCAGCAGGCCGGCGGGGGGGGGGGAGGGGGGCTGGTGGCTTCGATTTTTGAATTCCATAAATGTAGATGTGCAAGGTCGATATGCTCATACTTGCGGGGATTCCCAGGCAAAGTGTCCAACCACCCGAAGGCTGAGAAGGTGGGAAATCATGGGCCAAGTTTCGGACTGGAGAAAGTGGGGTTGGTGTCAACAAACAGAAGTCTTTGGCCCCCTTGGGAGGCCCGAGAATTGAACGTGGACCTTGTCAAGGTAGTTGGCCTTGGAGCTGCATGAGACACGGCCCAAAGGTGTGGCTTGGGAGTGTGGCCGGCAAAAGCTCCCCGCGACCGGCCGTGAGGAGAGCGCTCCGCAAGTTCCAAGCTCGGCCCCGGCCGTGGCTTCGCCGAGACCTTCGCCGGCCCGGGAGGCCCGGGAGCTGGAGGAGGTGCCTGCTCCTGGCAGCGTGCGACAGAAGCTCCGCTGCATTGCTTCCATTTGCTTAAGAGTATATGCTATTTTCCCCTGGTGGTTGTTTTCAAGGGAACCTATGACTACTGCAAATATTTCATTTTTTCCAGGGGGCTTAAGCAAATGGAAGACTGCGGCCGAAGAAAACGCCGTGTTTGTCCGTGGCGTGGCGTCGCAAGCCTCGGTTTCCCCGAGGATCCGCGGCGTTTTTGAGAGAGCCGCAACGTCAACACCTCAGCGTCTCCAGGCGTGGGGGCAGAGGGCACGGTGCCTTGCGTTGCTTGAGCTTGGTAATGTTGACCCCGGATTAATAAACCAACCTGTCTATTAATATGGGGGTGCTTTTCCCTGGTTTTAGTGGGGATTTATCACTTTTGGAGGGGAACACCCCATATTAATAAACCCCTGTGTATTAATCCGGGGTCAACATTCTGGATGGCGTGCAATTCTTTTTGCTTGTGCCTCCAGCTTGCACCCCTGGTGCCTCTCGCAAGCACCACCTTCCATGAGCAGGCAATGAAACCTAGCATCGCTTGCCTAGAACTGTTTTTGCTGGTTGTAGGAGAGCGTCATCATACAATTGCGCAATATCCTGAGCCCCCTTCGGAAATCAGTGCAAGATCATCCTCGGCGCTTCAAAACTTATTGCCCGACCACAAGTATTGACAATGTTACTGAGCGGTGCGTGTTGGTTTGGGGAGCGACTTGTCTTCAGGATCCTGACACCTGATCGGAAGACCGATGTCCTTTTCACTCCGATATTGCTTTGGTACCGAAGCTTGGTTTAAAAGGGAAGCCAAGGTTCCTGCATATCCTACAGAGAACCAGGGTACTAAAGCTTCTGCGCGAGGCTAGGGCCGCCGGGGTGGCACGTTCTGCGGGCACGCTCACTAGAGCAGCTACAATGGGAGCCGCACCCCAGCAGGAGCGACCAGCTGTGGCTGCAAAAGCGATTCCAATGGGCCTTTCCCTTCTTTTGGGACACCCCCATACGCATGTGTCCCTTCGGGGCTTGTTTGAAATGGAAACCAAAAGGAAACCACTCGTTGTTTTGTGCCATTCCTGACAGAAACCCGGTGGTATTGGACCTTCATTCCTTCCCTGCAAAGAACAATCAAGCACGTTGAGACAGAGAGGTGGCAAGGAGTCAGCATCGGTGTTTTTTCCTGGAAAGCGTGAGACGTGTGAGTTTTTGCCATGCTCGTTTCATTTGTTTGGTGCATGTACCCTTCTCTATACCTCCACTCGGGCACGTCAAGCTGACAGCAGACCTTCCCCAACACCAAGGGCATTGAGGCAAATACAGGCACCAGGGAGACAGAAACAACATGATGCACGCCTCCGCTAGATATATAACTGAATTCGCCGCAGTGGGGGAGCATGCAAATGGGCAGCAACAACAACCTTACACCGGCACCAACTCGTGGGCAGCCTTGCACCATGCATCGCGCGCACTGGGCGCTGGCGACGTGTGAGGCAATGTCTTGCTGGCAATGCCTGTCGGTTCATCCAACCCATTTCCAGCACATCGTTAGGACGCGGACTTTGGCATGAGCCCTATCCGGCGTGGAGGGAAGATGCGCGTCTTCGGGCCCATGCCGACTCCACGAGCCTCGGTACGTGCCAAAAAAGACCGTTTCCCTCAGCATATTGCTTGAAGGGTGTATGAAGGTGGGATGCTGAAGCACCCCCATCAGCAAAGAACTCAAAGGTGGGGTAGGCGAACATGAATGAGTTATAACTCCCAGTCACGATTGGTGAAGCGCACCTTCCTGAGGACCCGGCAACGTCCCGCAGACCGCAAGACGAGCCACTGAATGAGAAACTTTCGGGCAGGCCACAGATGTGGCGCCCTCCAATGACATACGGCTTTCAGTTGTTTGGCACGGAGCAACAAGCTAAAGTTGCGCTGTTCCGTGTAATATGCTGCACGCACAATTGGTTGCACGCTTGGACTGGAGCGCACCCGCCCCCTGGAAATCTTTGGGGCTGCCCATTGCTTGGTTGATAGCTGCATGTAAAGTTACATGGATCCATGAGGGGTTGGTGTGTCCCGGGTACGCTTCAACGTGAAGACTGGACTGCATCCACATGCAAAAAGGACAGACCAGCAGTTCTTGACATCCAAGACGAAAGGGGGAATGAGTGACAGAAATGCACCGAGGACCTTGGTAAGAAACGGAGAGCAAGGCTTCAAACACATACAACCCGTCTTAGCGCTTTCATGAGCTTGCACAGGCTATGCGATCGCAATCGGACGCTCAATCAGCCAGGCCGCTGAGAGGATGCCGTCGGCTTGCCGCTGAGTTCTGTTTGAACTGTGGAGACGTTCGGCTAGAAGTTGGCTTAAACAGACCCTAAACCCCAAACTCTAAACCCCAAACCCTAAACCCTAAACCCCAGACCCTAAACCCTGAACCCGACAGAAGTCCAGTTGATGCAGAACATCCCTTTGGCACGCTTGATCGAGGCCAAGTCCCTGGCAACACGTGCGCGCTCCGCGGCCGGAGAGGCGAGCTACACATGCGCTGCGCTGTTGGTTGTGTCACGCTTAGCTGCTCTGCGTCCGAGCGGATCTTTCTTTTCTCGGCGGTAAAGTTGAATTGCACTACACGAGGCCGGATGAAACTGAACTTTCCAACCCCACGATTGGCCATCCGTTTGACGTCACTTGCACAAGGTGCTGCTTAGGTGGATTGGCTGGTTGGGGTTGGGCTGAGAATTAGCCTCGGCCCTGCGCCAGGATGCAGTGAGGACACCCTCCAGTCGGGCTCCATTCCGCACCCTGGCAGAGAAAAACGTGTGAAGCGCTGAAACCAGGACCTTAGCACATGACAGGTTTCATTTGAGTTCTCTTTGAAAAACCGTCCCTCGAGAGGTCCCCCTCCTTTGAGCTGCTACATCAACTATACCAGCATCAAGTGAATTGTGCTATCTACTTGTCAACTGTACCCAAGCGCACGAGTATGCGCTAGCACCCTGGCACTCAAAGACTTCATCAAAACATGTCGCTGGACGACGTGTTTCTGTGTCCGGGTGCTTCTTTCGTGTGTGTGTGTGTGTGCTTGTGTGGATCTGTACGTTTATGTGCGCGTGTGCGCGTCTGCATGTGTGTGTGTGTGTGTGTGTGTGTGTGTGTGTGTGTGTGTGTGTGTGTGTGTGTGTGTGTGTGTGTGTGTGTGTGTGTGTGTGTGTGTGTGTGTGTGTGTGTGTGTGTGTGTGTGTGTGTGTGTGTGTGTGTGTGTGTGTGTGTGTCTGTGTGTCTGTGTCTGTGTGTGTGTCTGTGTGTGTGTGTGTGTGTGTGTGTGTGTGTGTGTGTGTGTGTGTGTGTGTGTGTGTGTGTGTGTGTGTGTGTGTGTGTGTGTGTGTGTGTGTGTGTGTGTGTGTGTTTGCGTGTCCATGTCTTTGTGTTTCAGTGTGCTTGTGCGATTGTGATCTGAGCGTTTGTGCATGTGTGTGTGTGTGTCTTTGGGTTTGTGTGTCTCCACATCTCTGCATCTCTGTTTGTTTATTTGGGCGCCTATGCATTTGTATGTGTTGGTATGTGCTTGTATGTATTTGTTCCATTATTTGTTTGTGCATTTGTATGTGTTGGTATGTGCTTATATGTAGTTGTTCCATTATTTGTCTCGTTCAGTGTCTGGACATCTGAGCGTCTGTGCAAACGCCAGAGTGTATGTGGATGTGTTGGCCTGTTGCTTCCATCCTGGTGGCTGCCGGATGAGGAGAAGATCTTGCTTGCTGGCGAAATATTTGGGAAATCAGGAAAACAAAGGCTTCATGTTGGGTCTTGCAAGATGGCAGCTGTTCGGAACAAGGGGCTTTGGTCACTTGGGTGGGCACCTTTGGGGTTGCACTCAAGTCAATTCCCATTGACAACTTGCCAAGCAGAAATAGGCTCAACTCGACGCAGTATAATTGGGTTCTTAACATTCGGGTGTCCTTTTGGTGCTCCCCCCTTGTGGTATCTGTTGAAAGACAAATCCAGTGTCCCATGCTGGGTTTCAACAAAGGTGCAACAAAATGTTGCTTGACCAAAGCAGCAAAACCGACTAAACTCGACCGAGCCCCCATCTAAAGAACAAATCGCCAAATAGACGCTCAAGGGGGTGCAATGAGAAACCCTCATAAGCAATACACACTGTACTCAGAAAATCTTGGATTTATGATCCCCTCAATGTGAACCGGGATCCCCTGCGGGGGGTCACCTCCGCCAGCGCGCCGGTCACTCGCAGGCCCAGCACCGCGGGCTGGGCGCCTCGGTTCTGGTGCGAGAGAACTGCCGCTCCCTGGAAATCGTCTTGTCCATTGGGCCAACTCCCAGTTTGGGGATGGCACAAGGGAGAGGTTGTTGGGAGAGAGAGAGAGAGAGAAAGAAAGAAAGAGAGAGAGAGAGAGAGAGAGAGAGAGAGAGAGCCTTGCCAAGAAACACACACACACACCTCCAGGAGTTTTCGGCTGCTTTAGTCTTTTTGAAGGGGCTATGTGTGATTGTTTTCAGAATTCAAAGCGTGACAGAGATTTTTCTGGCTGGGTCAGGGTCAGAGTGCAGCACGCTCACAGCTTGGCTCTATGCCCTGGGATCGGATTGACAGCCAGCATCAAGCGCAGAGAAATTGAGATCCCAGTGATCAAAGAAAGCGATTCTAGGCCCGCAGAAGGTTGACACACTCGAAGCTCGAGCCATTCTTGCGCTGCGTGCCACGGAGCCCGCGGTTCACCCCAGAAGGCAGGGATTCGGATGCTGTGAAATCCGCTCGTGTCACTAAATTGCTTGGCAGCGTTGACGCGCCGTTGGAAGCTGGTAAAGGCCTGTTTCAACGGCTGACCTGCATTCCTTAATCTTGTTGGAAAGCCTGTTCTGGTTTCGTCTTCGGGGGCTTGCCAGTGATCTCCAGGAATCGGGCACGAATTCCGTGATTGGGGCAGAGGGTGTATGCGTACATACGTATCAACCTATATACATGTATAGATGGTACCACCCCCATGGATGCACCTGCCTTCAGGATTCACTGGTATGTGTAGTGTGTTCTGCCTTTGTTTGGGCTTTGGGGAAAGCAGCAAAAAGTGGCGCATGTCCAAAGATCTGAAAGCTTGAGGCTAAACTGTTCCAGAGAATATTGAATCCAGTCGGTTTGGATCTACCTCTGTCCTAAGCTAAAAACAAAAATGTAAAATTATGGAGCCAATGATCCAAAAGCAAAAAAGTAAAAAGGTAAAATTATGGAGCCACTGACCCAAAAGTAAACAGTAAAGAAGCAACAAAAAGTGAAAGTCAAAAGTCACAAAATATGTCAGTCCATGGTCAAGCATTTTACTTCAGGACCACGGGCTGTTTTTTTTGTTTTTTAAACTTTTGGGTCATTGGCTCCAGGCATGTACTTTTTCTTATTTACATTTTTACTTTTGGGTCTCTGGCTCCAGACATTTGCTTTGTTTTACTTTAAATTCATTAACTCCAAATTTGGTTTTTACTTTTGTACGGTTGGGTCATTGGCTCCAGAACCTTGAGCTTTTACTTTTGGCCTATTGGCCCCATAGTTTTACGTTTTTGTGTTTTCACTTGGCCATTGGCTCCAACATAGCTGCTGTTCTGCATCTTCTGACCAAACCTCAGCTTGGAATGGACAGGTTTAGGGTGTGGGGGTTGGGGCTTATCGACTCATGTTTATAGGAATCGGCTTATTTCTCGTAGATGTTTGGTCAATGAATTTCATTGGAAACATTGTTTTCTTGTTCAAGTAAACTCTGTGTGTTTTGTTGTTTGATTGTTTTTGCTTGGGCATCAAAGTCTTCGAGAAGGATTAAAGCATCAAACATTCCAGTAGTGTTCTTGTCCCAAAATGGATTTGAAAGATGATTTCAATGGGGAATATTTTTTCTAGAATTGTGGTTGTTCAATTGTCTAATTAGAATCGAAGTGAATTTAATAAGGAACACACCCTAGTAGAGTTTCTAGTTTAAAGACAATTAAATAGGAGTTCCTTCGCGAACACGATGTGTAATCAAGATTCTTATTTGAAACTAGATGTTACAACGGGCTGGTTTTTCGGCATATGTTCAATACAATTTAAAAATAACATAAGTCTGATAGAATTTCTAGTTATAAAGAAACGTTGCATAGGTTTGTTTAAACGACGGCTTTTAACAGTCGGAATTATTATTTCAAGTTAGTTTTTCCATGATAATTTGTTCAAGTTTCTTTTTAGAACTTGAACAGCAATTACAAGTGAACAACACCCAATATAATTTCTAGACTTGAAGATGGTTTGAATGGGATTTCCATTTTGAAGAACATTGTTAATTGGGATTCTTACTTCAAGTATATTTTTCAGGAAAACGTCCTTTGCCGGGATATTGTCTCTCCAATTTAGTATTTGGAATTGACTGGAATGTAATAAGGAAATAATTATAGCATAAATTCTAACTTGTTTAAAGATCACGTAAATAGGATTTCCTTTCAAAGAAAAACACATGATTGGAATTGTTATTCCAAATTAGATTTTGAAGAGGATTTCCTTGCTTGGGGTGAGCTGAGGCTGGTCAAGTCGCATGGGGCATTCCATTTAAAACAGCTGCATTACATCTCCAAAATAGCCTTCAAACAGCAAAAAGGTAGATGCATCGGGGGGGAGTTGCACATAGATATACACATGTTTTCCCTATCAATGAGTGCCTAGTAAAGTCCGGCAGGGCCGACGAGGAATTTCAACACAACGAACCGTAGTTTGGAGCACAGTTGTTTCCCTTCTCTCTCTCTCTTTTTTTCCCCTTCTCTTTCTCTCGCTCTTTCTCTTTGTCTTTAGAAGCCACGAGCTTTTGAAGGTCGACCCGCCCCAAGGGCTCAGAGGGTTCACCAATTGAAGGCTGCGAAACTGTCCGTGCGGCCGTGCCAATGGTCCCAACCCGCCTTTGTCAGACGTCGCAACCCAGGTGGTACATGTGCAGAGCCCAATTCAAGCGCACCACCTCTATTCAAGGCCACGTGCCTCAAAGCGAGGGAACTCAATTAGTTCCCGGAAGTTCTTGTGAAGCCTCGTTTGAAAATGCCAAGCTACTACCTTAATACCTGTCTGACCTGCCACCTCAAGATGCACAGTAACAATAGCTGCTAAAAGCCTCCTGCATATATGTTTCAGACAAACCGGCACTTTGCCCGTCCCCCTCATTCTCAAAACAACCGGCACCTAAGCACCCCTCCCTTCCAGGCATGAGATCTTTGGGGTGCGCCGTGCGATGCCTCGCAGTGGTCGCCGGGCTTACGATTGGTGAGGCAGGATGGGATCGAGCCTCAAGTTGAGCGCGCGCCGGGTCGCACCAATCCTGGTGCTCCAAGCGTTGCTGCGTTTTGCTAGGGTGACGTCCGTTCCCTTGAAACCAGAAAGGTCCGAAAAAGGGCGCCCTGCCACCGGACACGGCCTCGACATCCTAAACCTAACCGTGGCGCGCCCTGCCATACGGCCATACTCTAATTCTAGAAAACTTCTAGGGCCCTCCTAAAGACACATGCTGCGATTCTCCTTTTTAGAAGAGGTTAAAAACTGGCTCTTTTGAATTTGGAAGTTTCAAACCAGAGACGGGTAGGCAGTGGGAGTCACCGTAACCGGACCTCAAACTACCTCAGAAGCATATGGCTGTGGGTCAAAAAGGGGTACCCAAAAATGGAACCCTGGCAAATGGAAACAAAGACTAAAACCTGCGTAACCCTACCTCTTTAAACCGGGGAGTTTCAACTAGTTTCAGGCGAGCCAAGCACCGACAGCCCGACAGCCCGGCAGGCTGTCCCTGTGCTGCGACTCGGCCGGCACCACGGAGGTCGTCGACTCACGGAAGAAGCCAAGCTGTATGGAGACCTCAAGGCGTTGATGGCCTTCCACGTGGATGTCCTAGCTCCTTCGGCGGAGTTTGGCGCGAGTCGGCCCCACGCCCTTCTTTGGTCGCCCGTGTTGAGTGAGTTTCTTGGTGTTTGATGGGGGCCATATGAACTTGTTGGCATGTGGGTGGGAAAACCAGCCATGCTGAGAGTTTAGCACCTGGCTCCTCAGATATGGGCAGCCAATTGGAAGGCTTGGGTTGACGAGGTGGTTTAGCAATGAGCCAAGCCCCAGCTATTTTGTGCTTCGGACTGTGGCCGGTTTCCATTTTTTATTCTTGCGACCGCCAGTGGCGTGGGATGTAAGTACAATCCTGAGAAAGGAGCACCCCACGGCATGAGATTTGCACTGCGCGATGCCTACTTTGCATGTTTGTAAACCGTGCCCCGATGGTTTCCCTTTGTCACCAAAGCCCGGTTCACCATGCGATTCTGCCAATTCTATCCGAATGAGTATTAAAGTCAATGCAGCAAACAGCTCCAAGCACCTGAATCGAGGAGTGCCCCTGTTTTGTTTGGAGGTTGGAAGGCCAGGTGTGCACTTGGTTGAGAGATGCCGGCCCCAGCAGTTTTGAGGTCAGGCATCTCAAGGGGATTGATGCAAAGACAAGGCCTTTACGTTGGCAAGTGTAGATCTAGTTTGCTTGCCTTGCCTTGTCTTGCTTACAGTGCTGGTGTGGGTGTCTTTGTTTGCTGGTCTTTCTTCCTGCCCATTTGCCTGCCTGTGGGTGTGCCCTGCCTGCCAGACTTGCGACTTGCGCGGCGAGGTCGGCACGCCTGGGCAGCTTCAGTCAGTGATTGTGGACACTGGGTCTGGCAGGACGGCCTTCCCGTGCACTGGCTGCCTTGACTGCGGCTCACACATGGACCCGCCCTTCGACCCAGACTCTTCGAGCACGTTCAGGTCGGAAAGCTGCCCTTAGATGGCTCGCAATATCAATGTCCCAAGTCGTTTAGCTGTGTCCTTTGCAAAGTCAACCTTGTGCCGGTTGCAAACTGTCCCGAGATTTTGGGGCATCAAACGCCAACTCACTCCCAACAAAGTTCCGTCCCATTTCAAGCAGTAAGTTGCTTCGAGGATTCTGCTTGCAGGTGGGTGAAGTGCGGGGAAAAGGGCTGCTCCAGCTGTTCTTCTTCCAAGTGCACCTATAGCGTGCACTACGTTGAGGGCTCGAGTATTGAAGGCGAGTTCTTCGAAGATGTCCTTTGGCTGCATGTCTGAGCCTTTGCGTATCTCATCAATCTCAAATTGAGTGTGTATCCTCAAATATTGAAAGCAGGTTGCTTGTAAGCGTCACATGCCATTGGTCTGCGCCATTTTGGAAAAACGAGGCTTTATCCATCATCTTTTGCAATGCAGCAGTTGAGGGCCAGATGTCCAGGTAAAACCCCCTTCCCAGCCTGAAATGAAATGAACAGTTAGCTGCACACATGTATGCACGACGCAAGGTTCTCCATTTGGGCGTCGCTGCACGTGCCGCACAGCTGAGACGTGGAACAGTGATGCGTTCTTTTGCCCGGATTGAGTGAGAAGTTTCTCAGATGTTTGGCTGTTCATTCCCTGTAGGAACCAGCCAGCAATCAACTTCTGAGTGCTAAGCAAACCATGTTTGCTGGTTTTATTTGTTCAAAGGAAGCCACCACATGGATGATCAAATTGGCCAGACCTATTTGCCCAGATTGTGTTGCTCATTTTGGGACTCACTTGCCCTACCAGTAGCCTCAAACTGGAAGCTGAGGCCAATCAGAAGGGCCGCGTTTGGATGGGCTGCCATGCCCGCGAGACCAAGCTGTTTCGGACGCAGGACAGCCCGGTTCAGACAAAAATCGGGGCAGGCAAATCAGGCGTAGCCATTTGCAGGCCCCGCAAGCTTAAGAGGGCCCCAAGGGAGGTCTGGTTTGTGCGGATGCAGCTGGCCGTTTTGGGAACCCCAGGCTAGAAACAGCAAAGTGAGAGGTGAGCAAGCGTGAAAGCGGAACAATGCCTCGCCACCGCGTTGCTTTCCTCATGTCCAGCGGCCCATGCATCGAACATGGCAATTTGATCGACAGAAACGGCGGGCTCACAGTAAGCAACTAGAAGGCTACAACTTGATCAATGATAATTCTGTGTTCTCATCAGAGTGTCAACCAGTACCCGCAAAAGGCACCCCCAACATATCTTTATGCCATTATGCAATTATGCTTGCATTGTGGGTGGGGGTAGTTACAATTCTAGCGGTTGATTCCCCATTCTTTTCAACCATCGTTCTTTTCAACAACCTGTTGTGTCCCCTGGGTTTTTGATTGTTTCCTGAAAAGAAGGATCCCTGGAAAGAATGGGGAAGCTGCCCCTAGAACAATAGGGAAGTCCACAAGGGTGACGAGGTTTCTGAAAGTAGTCCCTCAGTCAATTCGGACAAGGCGTCACGTTGTTTGAAGAGTGGCAGGAACCCACCGGCATCATGGGCCTGAATGATGGGGGTTGGGACGTGGTTGAGGCGTTGGCAGCACCTTGGCACCATTCCGAACCGGAGTTTGCAAGTTGGCATGTTGGGGAGACCTTTCCCATAGGCGAGCCTTGCAAGTTGCCAGCCAAATGATTGGGTTTTTGATATATCCGGCCATGCGATACGCAACTCGCATGTCCTCTGAGGATGGTCCGGTGGAAAAGGAGGTCTTCGCTCTGTGCTTGGCAGATCATGGCGGCTCGATGACCCTTGGTGGGCTGCACCTTGCCGTGAACGATTTCGTGCAAGTCGCTGCATGAGTGGCTGCAAGACTTGCATTCCAAGCATGGGGCCCACAGGCCCAAGGCAAATAACGCTCCTAAGGAACGACACGTGGATGCCCACTACTCAGCCCTTCCAGTGGGTGCCCTACAGCACCGCCTACTACTTGAACGTGGGTGGCATTGCCATGGGCGGTCGGCAGTTGTTCTCCGCATCATTGGGGAACTTCTTGCTGGACAGGGCTGGCGGCTTGTGAAAGCGCATGTTTAAGTTGACAAAGCATGCACACGTATCACGCCAAAACATGCTCACGCGCTGGGACGTGTAAGGGGGGTTTGGCCAGTCAAGAGCAAATCACCCTGCGGAGTTCCAGGACTCTGGCACTACCTTTACCTACTTTACTCGGCAGCAAAGCAGCGTTATCGAGGCGGGCTTGATTGTCGTTTGGACTGAAACGGCTACCGGGCGACCTGCATTTGCTTGGTTCAAATGCTAGCAATGGCATAAGATACGGCCGTAGCCCTTGACCTTACTTGGAGTAATCACTCTTGAGCCGCAAATCTACGGTCAACAACTTCGGCAGGTTCGGTCTTGGTCTTTCGGTTTTGGTCTTTCGCCCGTGAGGAACAAATTCAGTCCGCCTGTGGGGGCGACAAGTGCGGGGCGCGATGGCTCTCCTCCAGCTGCTGCCAGGCAGGGGCTAACTTCTTGGTTTCTGCTGGTGAGGTGGCCACACGATACAACATGGTTGGTGTTCGGACACATCTTACATTTTTGCTTATTGCGGTTTAGTGGGAAATCCCCACTTAAGTGCTATTTTGTTTTGCCCCCCTTCCAACGTCAACCAAGACAAGAGGCTGTCCTTTTCAGCACACGCAAGTTCACGCCAATTGCATGTGAAACCAGTGCCCCCTGCCGCCCCTGCCCTCTCCTTGGCCCTGGCCACTAGGTGACTGAGCAAAACCTTACAGAGCGCTTTCCCAACATGACCTTCAACCTTGGCGGCGGCACCTACGTTTGGCCGGCCAAGGGTTACATGCCTCTCGGCCCAGACATCGTGTGTTTCGTGTTGTGGATGCGAAGTTGTGTGAAGCCAGGTTTGAGAAGGAGAAGAACATGTGGTGCTATTCCTTCTTTGGAGCTCCTCCGCTGACCCTGGGTGCCTCTTTCATGATAGGCCATGCCATCATCTTTGACAGAGAGCAGAAGCAGAAGCTTGGATTGATAAATGCTTTCCGCAATTGGCTGCCATGGATTCGGTTGCACTGGCTTTGCGTTTGCTACCCCCTCTGGAATTCAGCTGTCAGCGTTACTCATTCCGAATTCCTCTTGCTTGGGACATATGTCGGCTGTGAGTCGCCGATGGTCTCAGGAGAATATAGCTTCCACACTCGGCCTTGAATGGGTAACAGTTCTTGTTGGATGAGCGTATGCTGCCTTGTTGCGATTCGGCCTTTGCACCAGGCTGGGACTCCGAATTTTGTGGCAAGTGGGGTTTGGCTTGCGGCCCACGGGCAGCAAGGATAAGCACAGCACCCGTCCCAACCTAGGTGACTTTGCCAAGGGGCTTCTCAAAATGGTCCCCTAAAATGCTGTTCCAGTGCCAAAGGGGTCCCCTCTCAAGACATGGGTGCCAAGGATCGGCTTTGCACCCTCGAATTGTCCGGAGTTCCACTCCCGGAGTGAGGCAGCTGCCACTTGGCCGAACATCCATGTGCACGTGAGCCTTGGGGGGAGCAAAGGTGGCCCTTTTTCAAATTTCTTCCATGTGGGGCAGGCCAATGGCTGCCAAAGATCGCAAACACAAAGGGGAGGTGCAAGAAGTAAGCTGAAGCGAATCAATTCACCGCAGGATGCTGGCGGTCGCAGTGCAGCAGCATCCAATTTCCTTGGTCTGTCTGGGTCCTCACTGTCTAGCCGGCCGCTTCTGATCGCCGCCGGGCTTTGGTGGGCAGCCTGGTTTTGATCGTCCGGTGCAGGTTGCCAGAGTTGGCCACTTCACAGGTGGCAACCCGGCCTGTTGCATGGGATTTTTGAAGGCTGGCTTGCTTGGTTCACACCACTCGCTGGCGCTCGCTGGGATCCAGCAGTTGCTTTCACTTTTCAGATGTCCTTAGTACTTTTCAGATGTCCTGTGCATAGTGGTCTGGGCAGTGATCGCTAGGATCGCCCGCCGGTGGGGAGCTAAAGATGACTCGTGGAATAGCTTCCCCACTGAAGTGGCAACAGGCGGCAGAATGCTGGAACCCCTTGTTCTGCACGCTTCGGCAAGACACACTTATGAAGCTATGTGTAAGTAAAGGCTGCGTTGAGATGCATGAATACGCCAGCCAACTGGTGGGCTCGACTTGTGCTTCGACAGGGAGTTCGCCGAAACCCGCGAGTTGCCGAATCGCCCTGCCAAACTCGTAGAGCAGGTTCCGGGGCAGGGTCAAATGTGCAAACGCCATACCTTGCCCGTCAGTGATGTAAAGTGTATAGGCGGGGGCTTTGCCCTCGATGGCTGACGATCTCCGGAACAGGGCGCTTGACTCTACCTGGGTCACGCCCGAAGCTTTGATCAGCGTTGCCTTGGTTTTTGGCATTGGCACTGGCTTGGGTCCTCTTCTGAGGGCTTCGCCGCCTTTTGCCCGGCCATAACTTCCCTTGCGAAAGCTCCCGTGCGGCTTGGACGTTTGCCTTTCAAGGCGAGGGCTGTGAGGCTTGGGGCGTCTCCGGTCGTCATCAATTCTCTTGCCATATTGCTTTTGAAGGCTTCATCAGTTTCCCATTGCCCCCACACAGTGGCAGGCATTTTCCTTTGCACCGGCCCGAAGTTGGACGACTCGTCGACCCTTAGCCCATGGTGCCCCCGGCCTGCTGGCGTGTTCTTTTTGGTGATCTCGATGGCTCAAACTTGGAGACGGACAAGACTCTCAAAACGAAAGAAGGGCAGCAAGATCAAATACCCGTGGTCCGCCTCCAAAATTGGAGCCAAACGTTGTTGATGTCTAATCTCGGCTGCTAAGCAGTAGTTGAGAGACTTGCCCCCACAAGGACGGGCAAAAATTGGTCACCTTTGCCTAGGTCAGAGGCTGCACATTCAAGTGGATTGCAATTTCACTGCATGGGGGAAAATGCAACGAGTGGGGGGAGGGGTCAGCAGAGTGCCGGCAACTGCGCTTGCTGATCCTGTCAAGAGACGTTTTCCCCCTTTGCTCAAGTCTTCCCAGAAGTGAAACCTGCCGAGGAAGCCGTACACGTCCTAAGATCGTACAGTAGTGAAACCCTCCTAAGCCTGCCCAGGTCGCAGACAAGTGCCAAGGCCCAGAAGCCGCGGTGGAAGACCCACGTGGGTCACCCTTCCCATGTCGTACACTCACCATTTGGGATCAGGGGCCTGGGTATCGACCTGGAAATGGCTTTCTCCGAGCCATTCTTGGGTTTTATCCTCGCTAGGATCACTTTGAGCGGGCCAATTAACGGATTGAACGGCAAGGCTTCTCCATTGACATAGTTGATGACCGTGCTTCTATGTGTATTTTTCCCGCGTGGCGCTCCGTTTGTTTGGCAGGCAACGCGGGGCTCGGGTCGTTGCGAAGGGCCCTAAGAGGTTCACATGTGGAAGGGTAAGGGCCAGGGAGTGCGATCGGCAAGGCCTCACCCGAGAACCATCAGCTCTTTGCAGGATGCCCCACGTGGTTGTGTAATACCGGGGCCCTGGAAAGTCATAGGGTAGTCATGGGGATGGGTGGTATCACAAGGTTAGGTTCTACAACCAGCATGCCCCACCATTCGCCAGGAGCCACGGAGGCGTGCCCAGGGGAGGGGCTGAAGCCAGAATTTGCAGTCGGGTCCAGAGGGCTGACCTCAGCTTGGGATGCCGCTCAGGGAGCCCCCCCTTGGTCGACAAGGTTTGTCAAAGCCCAAAGCCCCGAAAACAGAGACTTCTTGGATGACCTCCCGGATAAATCTGGAGCCACTTCGGTCCTTGTCCTTTTACTTGTGGCCCTTCCCAGATTGATCTGGAAACTGGAACCTGGAGAACCTCGGTCCTTGCCTTCTTGGCCGCTTTTGGGCAATGGGGCTTTGATTTGAGCTCAAAAGCACCTAGGTCGCCCAGTAGTGCCCTTTCTCCCTTTTTTGGGGGAGGGCTCCCCTTCTAAGATAGACTAAAGGAAAAAGCGTACCCATATTTTAACACCTCTACTGGTGCCCTGCTGAATTGCGGGGGGGGTTTTCTGCTCATGAGGTGCGGGGCTGGTGGAGGGTCCCCTTTGTGAGCTTGAACGCCTTGGCGTTTAAACACACTTTAGTAAGAAAAACACATCTTGAGAGAAGCACATGATTTGGGCGGCTTAGTGTTGGTGGGTACTGAGCAAAAAGGAAATCCCCCTTTTCGGCGGGTTTTTGCTTTGATGGGTAGCGTTTTTCGGAAGCCTTAAACGGGGGGGGCTTCACGAATCGTGCACTGACATTAGTGACATGAGGGTCTTGAAACCTGTGTATGCATTCGACTTGAGCTAGGTGTGTTGCCTGCGCGTTGCCTTCTAGCTTTGGCACTGGCCAGGCACCGGCAAGCGAGCCGAGTAGCCCTCGGTCAGGCACCGCTCTTGTCGATGTGCCGGGGTAAGGAGCCCCACTGAAGCCGAGCCCATAAAACAGTGCTTTGTGCATCAGAATGCTTATCCGCGGGCTCACTGCGGTGAAGGCTAACCTTTCAAACATGGCTGGCAGGGCATGCCAGATATGGCTGGCAGAGCATGCCGGAGTGCGGAGCTGGATTGCATCTCTGCCTGAGCGGTATGCTTGAGGGCTTCCAATGCAAGCGCTTGGCGTTTGCCGTGTCGCCAAATTTGGGGCCCTTTCAAGTCTTGGTCCAAGCCCCTGCTGGCTCGGGGCTTTTCCTTGAAAGAAGTGTGACAAGGATGCCCGGGGTGAGCCTGCGAGTGGAAGTCACACTGAGCCAGCTGGCCCAAAAAAGCCGCAAGCCTTGCAGGTGCTCGGTGTCCGCACAGGCTGGCCCACTCTTTGCGCGCTGCGCGTGTCTTGCAACCAAGTACTTGCTTGTCGGGACTTCATGTATGGGCCACTTCACAACTGAAGCTAGATGGCTTATGTGCTCCCAAGGCCCGCGCATCAAACTAATTCTCGGACAGGAGCCCTTTCAATGGAAAAGCATGCTGTCAAAGCCTCACCCCAGGGTTCTGCAGGCCTTTTATTCCCTTCGGATGGGTAGGCGGCCCCTGTTCAGACCTGCCGCAGCATCGAAGAGGCCTGTGCCTCCACTTCGAGTTTGCCGCGAGGAGATTGGAAGCTGGGACCTCGCATGGCAAACCGATGTGCCCATAGGTGTCCCTTTTGGTTGTTTTGGCAGAAGAATAGATGGCCCTGGTTTACCAGGTGGTTTACTCATCTACTAGGGCCATCTTTTTCCCCAAAAAGGTTTTTTTATGGATGTGCCCTTTGGCGGTGTGTAACCTTTGCGAAATGTCGCTAGGGAAAACTTGGCTTCATCTGGGACAGGAGAACTTCACGCCTCTGTTCGAGCGGCACGAGCACGTGGACTTGCAGGCCGCTTTTCAGAAGGTGTACTGTATCAAGTAATGTAGATCAATCCGGGAGACCCTTGTCAGAGGAACCTCTCAATGGATCATTGCGTTATTAAAAGGGGACGGCCCTTCAGTAGTATACTGTCCTTTGGATTGCTCCCAAGTTAACATTGCCGCGGAAGCAGGCATGGCTCGTCACTTTTGAGCCATTGCCCTATTTCCCGTGCTGCTGATACCAAGATTGATGGGTGCAAAGCCAGTCGATCAATCTGGAGACAACATGTGTGATGCTTTCGGACTCACTGGGTGGCCAGGCAAGCTCCGTCCTCCGCGAGCTGTGGTGGGCTTGGAGTTATTGGTTGCTCAGCCTAAACCTGCTCAAACTATGCAAAGGACTCCGCTGGCGTTAGTTGACTGATTCGATTTCTTGTTTTGTGGGGAAGCAGGGACTACATGCAAGCAGTGCAACAAAAAAAGACCGACGCGGCATCAGAACCCGAGGCGGAATGTGCAAGGCCTTCGACTTCTTCAATGTGGCCTGACTGTAGGGAGCTCAGACCTTCTTGGAGACAACGTGGTGACCAATGGTTGGTCCAAAATGAAATGAACCGGGGCAGGCGTGTGTGTGACCGATGCCATGCTCTCTTGGAGCCGTTGTTTGCGAGACTGTTCCTGTGAGATGTATGCCGATTCGAATGGTTTGCTTTGGAATGATGAAGGCAAATATCCGATATCCATTTCTCGGGCGCTGCCGTCAGGATGGCTGGCTGGCCAAGCTGGGCCACAGCGGGAGCTCCAAGTGGAGCGGTGTGCGGATGCTGGACCTCAGGCGGGTGCTGGCGGCATTTTCGCCAAGAGGGCCACAGATCCTGGTGGGGGGGGTACAACTTGTGCAGATCATGTGGCTGTGGGTCAAAACCAATGGTACGGGGATTGGGATGTTCAGTGGGGGTATGGCTTTTTGACCCATGGCCAGGTTGCGGTAGGGCTTACAGTTTCCCCTTGTGAGCATGGTTGGGATATGTTGAGGTTCTAGGTGAGGAAATCGACTGCGGTCTGAAGTTTCTCGTGCCATGTAAGTTTGAAAGGGTTGGCGGGCACTGCGCGCAAGTTGGGCCACCTTCAGCCAGAGTCCTGCAGGTGCAACCAGCTAACATCAGCCAGCAGCTCTGCGCTGGCAAGTGTGAAGACCTCGGATTTGCGTTGGAAGGAGCCAATCATCCAGAAGAAACGGCCAGCCAACCACAGGTAATCTGTGCAACCATCAAGCTCCCGCGCGATGGCCGAGCTTTGACGTCCGGCTGAGGTGGTTTCCGGGGGCCTCCAGGCGCGAAGAGAAACGGAACCGGCACGGAAGTGACCAGGGCCCTAGGTGTGTTTTGCGTTGCTCAGTCACGGTGCTGCGCGGGCATTTGGGAAGCAGATTGGCATTTTATGGTCCCAGAGCTGCGGAGGCGCTGGTTCTGGATGGCAATCGCTTGCAGTCGGTGGGCTTTAAGGCGCACAAGTGCGCTGAGGGTTGGCTTCCGCGCAAGACATGCAGAGACTCGCATCTGGGGGTTCCTGGACTTTAAACATTTGTTGAAGACATTTTTTTCGCGGGAAGTGAGAAGTGTGGACTTTTTTTGGCCCATCCACTCGTTTGGCGAGCCCTGGATTTGCCCAGTTTCTCATTCCGCTGAGAGAAGCGTGGCGGGAAAGCAACAACATGCTTTTGGGCCAGCCCATGAAGCTGAGGAAGCGTCCTTGTTGCTTTTCGCTTCGAATCAGCGCTCACACGGTTGCGCCCTTGGTGCGCCAGGCGATATGCACTGCTTTGACCGGGAAGAAGTGCGCCCTCAGGCAGGCTGTATGCCATGAGCCATGCTGAGTCACATGTCGTTTCGTTGGAAGGTAGCAGGAAATGAGATGGCTGTGGGTCAAAACCCTGTACCCCTGGTGAACATCAAAATAGGGGGCAAATGGATGTTCATCCACCCCAAAATGGAGCCATAGGTTATGCCCCATGGTCAGATTCTGAAAAATAATGGTCCAAGGTTATTACCAGTGCTCGGCAAAATTGGAGCTGTGAGATGTCAGAATTCGCCGCTTGCATCCAGCATGCGATAGCTGATTGAAACACCCGTGTTGCACGCGGATCAAGGAGATGTGCACGGACATCCACCCTCTCACTTACTCATTTATTGATTGACTGTGAGAAGTTTGCCACATGCCCTTGTTCTTCCCTCGTTCATGGATGAGTTATGTGCTTGCTGTTGTTCATCGGCATATTCACAGCCTGTGTTGTTTCTGGCCCTTGTTTGCACGCTGTCCACTCCACCAGCCCAACTACACAGTGAAAGCTTGTCAGCCCCGTGAGGGGGACAGAAAACATCTAAAATGTCCCTCTCCCTGCTTTGCGGAGCCATGATCGCGCGGCAATTGCAAGCGAGGGCTGCCCCTCGCTGCGTGCCCCTCAGAAAGCCACAGGTGCCAGACATTCTTC